GCGACAATAAGGAATATTGCAACAGCCTATTCTTGGACATTCGAGAAGCGTTTGATCGAGTGTGGCACATCGGACTCCAACTAAAAATTAAACAGACGCTACCTGCTCCATATTTTGGGTTCCTGAAATCGTACCTGGAAGGAAGGCGATTCGCTGTGCGTTTCCATTCAGCACTTTCCACCGAACATAATGTGGCAGCTGGAGTTCCACAAGGTAGTGTCCTCGGCCCCCTGCTTTATTGCCTGTATAGCCACGATATGCCGCAGATGTAAGCCTATACTGGAAGTAAATCGACCAACGTCTGCTTTACTCTAAGGCGGAAAACGCCACCGACCGTCCATATCGAGGGAGCCCCCGTACCACAGCCGAACGCAGCAAAGTACCTTGGAGTGCTGCTGGACCGCAGACTCACATTTGCCAAGCATGTGACTACCATCAGAACACGCTTACGTGCTAAGGTGGCGAAGCACTACTGGCTACTCTTTCCACCGAACATAATGTGGCAGCTGGAGTTCCACAAGGTAGTGTCCTCGGCCCCCTGCTTTATTGCCTGTATAGCCACGATATGCCGCAGATGTAAGCCTATACTGGAAGTAAATCGACCAACGTCTGCTTTACTCTAAGGCGGAAAACGCCACCGACCGTCCATATCGAGGGAGCCCCCGTACCACAGCCGAACGCAGCAAAGTACCTTGGAGTGCTGCTGGACCGCAGACTCACATTTGCCAAGCATGTGACTACCATTAGAACACGCTTACGTGCTAAGGTGGCGAAGCACTACTGGCTACTCTGCTCCCGCAGTAAACTGTCACTCTCCAACAATCTGGCAATTTACAAACAGATCATAGCACCAAACTGGAAGTACGGGTGCCAAATCTGGAGCTTGGCATGTCAAATCAAAAGGATCCAGGCTATCCAAAATAAGGTCGCAAGACTCATCACCGGCTGCGAGTGGTTTGTGCGAAACACCACCCTGCACAGAGACCTCAAACTAGCGACGGTATTTGACGAGATAAGCCAGCACTTGGGTCGATACCATGACAGGCTGGAGCGCCACAGATATCGACTTGCCAGCGCTCAGATCTCGCCCACCAAGGAGGCTCAACAGAAGGCAACCGAGGGATCTCATTTCCCGATCTCATTTGACTAGGGCCAGCAGAAGCTGACCCTTATCATAAATTATTGGTTATCTGTGATTGTTTTGTTATTGTTAAAATTTTGTTAAATTGATAAAGCTAACTAGACTACAGTTAGCCGGCTGGGCTGAATCAATAGAGAAACAGGACATAAGGACACAGGACATTCCCAGATTTCCCCGTACGCCTTAATAAAACTTTAAGAAAAAAAAAAAAAAAAATAGACAGAAAGATAAGCTCTGCCATTCTATTTAACAACCCAGCCATCTGAGCACATTTATCTATGAATTTCTGAATCTCAGAAATGATTGTTTTAGCAGTTCATTGAGGAACATAATTTGGCCACATTATATGTTCGTTTTGCACAGAGGCAATGCCGATAGACAAGGCAAGATCCTCAGCTTCCGTAGGAATCCCGATCTCCTGCAGCAACCGCGACAGCAAACCGATGACATGGAAGACATACCGAAGTTTCTGACAAGCCGACTCCTCATGGACGATGAAGATGCCAAGGATGCGAGTCGCAGGAAGGCGGATGACGGTGACTGCGCGTATGTCGTGAGGCTGCCTCCTCCACGGAGATCTTGGTGTGTCTTGGTGTGCAACTAAGCAACTTAGCAACTAAGTAGCTTCGCATAAACAATGCTGACGCGCCATAGTGCAGTTCACCGTTCTGCGCTGGGAACGTGCGGCGTTGAAAAGCCGACACTTCCCATTTGGAGTGTTGCGCTGCGCCGCAAGTAATGCTGAGTCGGCTTGCCGATCATGTCTCATGACGTAAGCTAAGGAAAGAATATTGTCTGTACTTCAGTTCTAAAAAAGCTGCTTAATAAATCACAGCTCAACTCCGGTGCATAGCCGTAAATACCTTTGTTCTTAATTACAAACACATTGCTACGCCACAAGGCTAAAAATATAACCAAGGGGGCGAAGTCAAGCCCTCCAACCTAATCTACCTAAAAGGTGTCAGAGGCGTACCTCTGCTGAAGACGGAAGACCTCTGGACCACCAAATAGGAGATCAATTAACTTGGATATAATTGTTCACTACACAATAACTACACTGCCAGAGCAAATCAATACAAGCCGTATGCGACGATCAACGCAACGCTTTGATGGTTTGAAGTTGGGAAGCAGTAACTTCATCATTGTAATAATTTGAAATAGAAAACGCGTCTACTCGCAACGAAATAGAGACTAAAGTTTGGCACTCTGCTTTTGTAGACTGTCACGCGGCAATCACAGTTTTGTAAGCGATCACTTTCAAGATCCGCTTGTGTACAACGTCATCAGTAAAAAAACACAGCACAGAGGGTTTTGTGCTTTTTCATTTTCATTATCTCTTTAAAAATTGTGAAACTCTGTCTGGACATCACATCAAGTGCGGCTCCTGATTTGAAGCCAAAAAACTGAAATCTCTGCTGACCCTCTTTCACGCGCCGGTAAGACCCGTTTTTGTTAGGAAGAGCAATTTCTTTCTGAGTGTTTTCCATTTTACTAATAATGGTGACACTGTCGGTTCTTTGCAGCGCTAGGCGGTGCTTGCGCTGGGTGTTGCACAGGCTTGATGTGGGGTGCAGCTATTGCACGTGTACCTACAATGTGGACTACATGGTCCCTCGCAATCCGGTGGACACAGCTTCTTTTATTTCGTTAGAATGGCTCTGGGTGGCTGGTGTGATTTTATTAATATTTGTGTTTGGCAATGATATTATATCTGAGTGAGTGGGACATTGGGTTTTGCTTTGCGCTTTTAATAAGTAATCTTGCAAAAAATCGAGTTGTAGACCGTTCGTAAAGTTGCCATTTTAGGTATTCTATCCTTGATTTAATTTTGTACTTCTCGCCACCGCGAATATTTTCAAGTTAAGGCGCAGAGCTTTCTGGTGAAGCCAGCAGAGAAGCGCCTGCTTTATGTATTCTAATCTTATATAACGAGAGAATTAAAAGTGAATATCAAGAGAGAATGTTATGTGCACGCAATATTATTATATCAGTATTTGGTCAGCGTAGGAATGCTAACCATGCTTTTATGCTGTGTGGCTTATGAGTGGATAATCATGTTACACTTCCCCTGCCAATATATTTTTACTTTTATCTGATTCATATAATACATTGATATAATAATAATAAAGGGTCCACTGCCGGCTTACTACTGCTGGAGCTGCCCAACAGGTGTGTGAGACGCTCTTTTCCAGAATCGTGGGCACCCGATCACTTTAGCCATACTCAACCACAGTCTATTAGCTTGTCATGCCGGCACCCGAGATTCGTAGATTAAATTTTATGATTGGGCTTTATAGCCTGCAGTTAACTTCTAGGAATTGCAGGCCTTGCGGTTGTCCCCTGACTCCAAATAACGCTCCAAATAACTGTCGACTACGAACGCGTACGCATTAATTAGAATCCCAGTAGTATGGAGCGTCACCTTGACCACGCGGAAAAAACAGGACCGGTGGCATCTTGACTGGCATTAAGAATGCGATCCAGCGATCGTGAACTGTAACAGGATTTTAAGCAAACCTTGCATACCTTTTAAAGAACAAGATTTTTCAAAATAGTGGGCATGACAGTTTTTTTCGGTTTGTGGGCTACATTCTGCATGCCGAATCATAACTTTCTAACTTTCACTGAATAGATCGACTCAGCTGTGATCTTGATCAAGAATAGGAAAATTTGTCTTGCCAATTCATTGATATGCCTAAAACATATTGGTCACACCCACCCAAACTGTTACGACCACACTTTTGATAAATGTTTAAATTATTTTTAATATTTTTCATAGCATTACCACTAGAAGAGTAACGGGTCGCCGATAGTCGAGGAAATCGACTATGGCGTTCTCTCTTGTTTTGGAAAAAAATTGGTCCACGCCCATACTTTTAAGAAATGATTTCATTATTAGAATAACAAGATGGGAAACGCCATACGCTTTTTTTGCATACGATTTTTTGAGCTGGCTTAGAGCTTGCTCCAGGGTCTCTCACGTATTGTACATTTGATAAAATATGCCCTTAATTTTACAAGTTTATGTTTGAGTTTTAAAGTCTATATTATTTTTGATCGATTCCCACCATGTACTCAAATTTTGTGATGCCTTAACATGATAGTTATTCAAATACAGCATAGAAATAGAAATAGTAATAGCTAAATATATATGTACATAATAGTACATAATCAAAAACATACAAGTTATTAACCCTCTCCAAGTATCTTCCCCCCTCCCCTATCCGACCGCCGCCTTACACGCGCACTGCCGTTGCGCCACTTGACGGTCAACCAATCCTAAGTACATTCCGTAAGAACGCTGACTTCGCCCCCCCCGCCTTACCCACTAACTCGACGACGCATTCGACAGCCGCGCCGGCTGGGAGATACTTGGTCTGCAGACGACAATTTGTTGCTGGGAGCAGAGCAGCCGCCGGAGATTAAGCATGCAGCTTTCAGAGACATAGACATAGAGACAGGTTTTTTTCCAAATGTTGCCACGCCCATTCCAACGCCCACAAACCACCCACAACTGGTTTTTATCCCTTTTCTTATATATCTTGTAAGTTTTTATAGATTTGTCAAAAAACTGTTTGCCACGCCCACCCCAATGACCACAAGCCGCCCAAAACTGTCACGTCCACACGTTTATAAAAAGTTGTGATTTTGTTTTACTTTTTCATATATCTTGTAAATTTCTATAAGTTTGCCAAAAACGTTTTGCCACGCCCACTCCAAAGTTTACAACCACCAAAAACTGTCACGCCCACACTTTAAAAAAAAAATGTAAGTTCAGATTTGTATATAAAACATAATAAAACAAATTCATGAGTGGAAGAGTAAGCCATGGAAAAGTACAACTACACAAATTACTTACTAATTTATTGAAGTATGCAGAGGCGTATTAAAGAGTGCAATATATCCTTTAGGTCTCGCAATTGACACATTAAATGGGACCTGAGTGTGAAGAGAAAGTATGTTAATTAAATAAAAGAAATAAATGCACTAAGCGCATACTACCTTTATTCCAGGTTCATCAAAGCATGGAAATAATCGACGTGCATTGTTTGGTTTTAGGTTTGTAGCTAAATATGTATCTCTGCCGTCGTTGACAGAATTGGTGTAATAGCTTCTAAAGAGGCCTTCCTCATTTTCTGAAATATTTCCTTTAAAATAAATTTCTAAAAGACATTCAGATTCCTTTTTGATTTTGTCTTTTAGGTATAAAACAAATACAGGCTTACGAGGCAGTCGGATGCCCCTTAAAATTATAATATTTTCGCCCAAAGTGCTGCAAAAGATATTCAAAACACATATAAACCAAAAATATATTTAGTTAATAATTTAACTTACCCATCTTCCATATTTATTCTATTTAATTTGATTTGTCTGTCGTCGATCAATAAACTGTCATGTGCATGGAAATTCACCTTTTTTGCGTCTTCAATCCACCTTAAGTGAATTTTTACTGAACCCTCAAAGCTCTGGTTATCTATATGGGGTTCAATGAGGACTTCATAGTTGAGAGGCAAAACATCATTCGGCAGGCGAACCTCCGATATTACGTGAAGTGAAGAAAAATCAATGTCTGCATTGACAAAGCCCTAGTTGGGAAAGTAAATCACTTTGTTTAATTAAAGACATTAGAATATGATGATGCGTAATGTCATACAATTTTTACTTTTTTAGTACCCGGTACTATAATCGTTGAAAAGTATATATCTAATACGTAGAAGGAAGCATATCAGACCCTATAGGGTATTTATATATTATTGATCAGGATTAATAGGCGAATTAAGCTTGCCACGAACATCAAAAATTTTTAAAAGGAATGTACCTTTGCTCTTTTTGATCATAAAGTTTTCTAATACATCACTTTTTGACAGTATATAATTTAAGTTTTAATTAATCAATTAGCAAATTAATACAAAATATTTTTGGTTTCAATTTAATCAGAATATGATGATTATATTAGTTTGGCAAATATCTCCCTTCCGCCTCTTTTGAATTTCGCGGCTATGTACAAAGCGCTACAGAGCTCGTATCTGGCAATACTATACATAATTTGAAAGGTCTTGACATAACCTACAAAACGACGCTATGCATGATATTTGAATATTGCGTTCAACAGTTATAGACGTGTAAACATGGAGTTCACTAACGCCGAAATTCGCGCTATTTTAAAGTTTTCCTTCGTTAAAGGCAAATCCGCCAGAGAAACGTTCCGTGAGATTAATGGTGTTTTGGGGGATGGTACTCTATCACTTCGAACCGCGGAGGAATGGTTTCGACGATTCAGAGCCGGTGAAAACGACACCATGGATAAGCCAGCCGGCGGAAGACCTGTGACGACAAATACCGATCAAATCATACATCGAGTTAGACCGGCATGTGGCATCTCGTGACATCGCCCAGGAGATGGGAGTTAGTCACCAAACCATTTTAAACCATCTGCAGAAGGCTGGATTCAAAAAAAAAGCTTGATGTTTGGGTGCCGCATGATTTGACGCAAAAAAACCTTCTGGACCGAATCAACGCCTGCGATATGCTGCTGAAACGGAACGAACTCGACCCATTTTTGAAGCGGATGGTGACTGGCGACGAAAAATGGATCACATACGACAATATCAAGCGAAAACGGTCGTGGTCGAAGGCCGGTGAAACGTCCCAAACAGTGGCCAAGCCGTGATTGACGGCCAGGAAGGTTTTGCTGTGTGTTTGGTGGGATTGGAAGGGAATCATCCACTATGAGCTGCTCCCATATGGCCAGACGCTTAATTCTACCATCTACTGCGAACAACTGGACCGCTTGAAGCAGGCGATCGACCAGAAGCGTCCAGAATTGGCCAACAGGAAGGGTGTAGTGTTCCACCAGGACAACGCCAGACCACACACTTCGTTGATGACTCGTCAGAAGCTAAGGGAGCTCGGATGGGAGGTTTTATCGCATCCACCATATAGCCCGGACATAGCGCCAAGTGATTACCACCTGTTCCTGTCCATGGCGAATGCCCTTGGTGGTGTAAAGTTGAACTCAAAAGAGGCTTGTGAAAAGTGGCTGTCCGAGTTCTTCGCAAATAAGGAGGGGGGCTTCTACGAGGGAGGTATTATGAAGTTGCCATCTAGATGGAAACAGATTATCGAACAAAACGGCGCATATTTGAACTAAATCCGATCACTGTAACACTTTTTATAAAGCATTGAATAAAGAGCAAAAAAGCGGAAGGGAGATATTTCCCAACCTATTATATAGCTGCCAAAGCAATACTCGGAATACCTTACCGATTTTTAACCTTCTTTAATGTCGGTTTCACAGTTTCGTAGTTCTTATAATTATTTTCTTTCAAATATATAATTACATATATAATTATATATTATATATATAATTTGTGTTGTGAAAAGTCTTAAAGTCTAGGTGCAGATGAGCGGCTAGCAACAGCAAAGGAGGCTGGAACGCTGGAGGAGTCAAGGGCAAGGAGGCCAAACAGTAAGCAATGGCCTTGGATCCCAGCAAAGTGGAGAGCCTGGAATTAACTGTACAGCACAGAATCTCAGACTCACGCCGGCCAAGGACAAGGAGGAATTTTTGACGAGCGCAAAAAGGACGCTTTTTAAATGAACGGAACGGCGCTAAACCTTAAACACGGACCGAGCGCGAAAATAACACGCAATTAGAACACACCCAAGACCAGTTAGTTAGAACTCGCGTAACACAAGGCAGCTAGAAAAAAACAGAATCAGAAGTGAAAGAGAAAAAAAAATGTGAAAAGCTGAACGAAGAGGAAGTCTACCAGGCTGAGACTTCCACGTTAAGATCCACACGGGGAGGATGCTACCGGAGGAGATGATAAGGAAATGCCATGGTGAGAAAGGGATTGTGGAGTCCTTGGCTAGTGTCCTGTGACAGCAGAACAGTAGTACCTACACACATAACACATCCAGGCCGGCAGGATCCGTGCTATGGGGGAGACGAGGTAACCGGGGACAGGGACCTGCGGAATTCATATCGGGAGCCCGGATATCGCTTAAATAAAACTACCGAAATAATCTGAAACCTTCTTGGTCGGGAAATCACACAAAACATTAATATGGTGAGACGAACATGCCTAGTTGGAACTCGTAGTGAGCAGAATGTGGAAACACAGTTCGTTATAGGCTAGGGCTGCAAATATCTTTCTTTCTTTTTTCATTTTTATTTGCCATAGAGAATTCAACAATTTTTAGTATTTTAATAAAAATAAGTTTTGGCTGAAGCATTTTTTTATAAAATACTTATTTTATTAACAACGTTTTAATGATGTGTGCTTGTTTAATTGAAATAAAAAAGTTTAGTTAACCAACCAAGTCGGGACTATCCACGTCACCACAAATAAGACTTCATATAAACACTGCTGCAAGCTTCGTTCGAAGGTTGGTTAGGGAAGGTAAGCTAATTAACATTAGTTTATTGGAAAAAGCAGGTCATATAAGGTTTCTATCCCAATGCGATCCTACTGAACTCCATATTGGGGACTTTAACCAGGTGATCCATACTCAAGAATTGGACGGACTAGCGAAACGAATAAGGTTTTGGTCATGAAAGGATCATGATCGAGATCTGCGTACATAAGTACTCGCGACTGTTTTATTGCTAAGGGAACATCGTTAATAAGTAAGGTTAAAAAGAGCGGAGCAAGGTTGCTTCCTTGTGGATGTCGCCGGATGTGACTCGGAGAATAGAAGTAAAAGACATTTTTAAAGAGGACCTGTTGCGTCCTGCCATTTAGATAACTTAAAATCCAATTCAAAAAATCAACAGGGAAACCTAATAAAGCAAGTTTCCTAACCAAAAGTGAATGATTAACAAAGTCAAATCTTTTACTAATGTCAGTGTAAATGAGATCTGTTTGAAAACGATTTTTGAAGCCTTGTATTACAAAGTAAATTAGCACTAAAAGCTTAGTGGTTAATAAACTGCGTTTCATAAAACCGTGCTGAGACGGTACTGCAAATGAGGAGTTATAACATTTTTAAAAAGTTTAGGGATAGCCGGCAATTTGTTACTGTTCACACTATAAACTAATGCGTACACTTAATGAGTTCAATTCGGGTGTTTGAATCTAACTGACTCGCTACTGCCAGGGCTTCGCCTTTTATTCATTCTTACATAGGTTCTTATCATCTAATTATATAATGCAGCGCTTGTAAGACGCCACAGTCTGCGTTTGTAAATGCAGCTGAGTTTTAATTTTAAATCTATGTTTGAGGCCTATGACCGCGCTAATCACCTCCCGCGTGGTCATATCTCTTGACACTTCGGCAATAGGCCGCTGCAATCGTACTTATCTGTAGTTGCCACTTATGCTTTCTAGTGACATGTTTATTGCAGCCCATAAATAGAACATATTTATAGCTTGCCTACTTATGTCTAAACACATATTTAGACAGTTACATTTTTTATATAGAGGAATCATAAAGGAATCCTTCCATCCTTCCTTCCATGCAAGAACGTAAATGTCGTAAATCAGGAAGTTTTGATGTAGAAGCGGATGGAGCAAACGCCTCAACAATGGAAGCACTGCGCCTGCAGTCGGAGCTTAGGTTGTTGGAAGAAGAAGATAACATTTTACATCTGAGACAGCAAGGGCTACAGAGACGGAAGAAGCTTCTGTCGAGGACTGGAGCAGAGCAGGTTGATTTCAGTTGGGAAGAAAAGATTCCTGAGTCATGCAGTACACAAGCGGCACAGAAGCCCCTAGCGACTGGTATCACCCCACAGGATATACGCGTAGAAGTCTTCGCTGTATCCATGGATGTTGAGCACCAGTGGGGAGCGTGATTCTACCGCCAGGTCAGGCCGTTCAGCAGAAAGAATATCAGCGGAGCAGCTGGCAGCGCGGAAAACCAATGTGGCTGAACTAGTAAAGTTTTCCGGGAAACCTGAGGACTGGCCCATGTTCTTGGCCACATACGATCAGTCAACCGAGCTGTGTGCGCCTACGCCACGCGCTAGAGGGACCAGCGAAGTTAGCGGTTAGGAGCCTTATGCAGCATGCAGACTGCCTTCCGCAAATATTGTCTACTTTGGAAATGCGTTTTTGGAAGGCCTGAAATAATCATTGACTTGCTGTTGAAGCAAATGAAACAATTCCCTCAAATCAGGGTCTGCCGGATCTGGCCAATGAAATGCGATGACAACTAGACAAGAACGTTCGGAAAGGAAGCAATCACACCACAATAAGCAGTCGAGAGTACCTACCAATATTTCCTACCTACCTACCTATTTGGTACCTACCAATATTTCCGGTGGCCAATGTCAACAATCCGGGAGAGCTTCTCATTGTGTGGGACGCAGCAGCGAAATCTAACGGTGTCTGCCTTAACACGATGCTGCTGAAAGGACCAGATCAGTTGGCACACTTGGTACCCATTCTACGCAGATTCAGGGAAAAGCGTATAGCAATTGGAGGTGATATTGCAGAAATGTTTCACCAGGTCAGAATAAGCGTTGAGGACCAAAATTATCAACGATTTGTATTCATAGATCCTGGCACGCAAACTCGGGAGAACTACGTCTTGCAAGTAATGACCTTTGAGCTAGCTGCTCCCCAAGCTTCGCGGAATT